GATATGTTAACTAAGTCACTTTATCTTGAACCCTTTAATGATAATTTGTCCAAGATGGATTTGCTGAACATTCACCGTCCATCTTGAGGGAGGTTGTGAGAAGAAGACATGTTTTCTGTTTATTATCACAACTGACATTATTCCCTTTTCCCCACTGGATATTTTATTTGTTGTTTTATAGTTAGTTTGTTAGGATAGTTATTTTACCTTTTTAGAATCATCTCTTGTATTTTACTTTGCTGTATAAATTACACATCACACCGTATTTTACTGGTGGGTATAAATAATGAGAAAGGAGAAATTTTGAAACCAGAATCACCTCTGCTTTCTCTATCAGATTGTCTAAAAAATGGAGTTCTTTGGTTAGCAGAACCTACAAAATTGATATCATGAGAAGCTTGAAAAAAATTCTATTTTGATAGAAAATCTCACTACATTGGATTAAACATACCTAAAATTTGAGGTTAACTTGAATAAATTATGTGTTTTTCTCTTTCTTGTTTACAGACATTCAAGTATTAAAACATTTTTAAAACACATCAATATAACCTCTTCTTTTAGCCATATAATTATAAACCTAAAAAATATTTCACTTAAATTAGATAATAAAAGACTAAGAGCTTTATTTTGTTATTCAACTATTTATTTCTATCTAACATTGGATTTTTAACTTATTATTGGATTTTCAAATATACAGACTCTTTAAATTAAGTTTNAGGATAGCTTGGTCCACTCATATAAGGAGGATTAGTAGCGTAGTCTGCAGGAAATGGCACTGGATGTGTGTAGGGGACATTATTTTGGGTCTGTTTTCCTGTCCCATGGAAATGATGGATTGAAGCTTGAGGCTTTTTCTGTGGGTAGGCTTGTCCAAATCCACCCCCTGGGGTCAAGTGAGTATCATTGCCATAATCTAGCAGCACTACTCCTTCCCCATTACCTGCATAACAAACATAAAGCCTCAAATCACTCAAAGTTGCAAGCCTTTCCATCCAAACATGGAACCCTTTTTAGCATGCTGAATCAAAAGCTCACTCACCCTATAGAAAATAAATAAAAAGATAACATATATTTCAAGGTTGTGAGTCCTCGTCTTAGATCTGATTTTCCACATTTGGAATGTTACCTTAAAAACCAATCTTCCAAATGTGACTTTGTTCTCTTAATGATAAAGACTCTAATAATAAATAGCACAAAAAAATATTGCTTGGATCACTTTTCCAAACACTCTATTAACAACACACAAGAAACTGTTCTGTGGTTTAGATCACACAAATTTATGATTTCAACCAATCTCCACTGAACATGTTGTTAAGTTTTTCAATTTAACATAGAAGAGTTAATAAAACATAAAAACTAGTAGAAGATTATAGGCACATGATGACATCAAATAATTGCATAATAATAATACCTTGTGGGTGGAAAGTAGGGTCCTCCTTGTTCTCAGAAAGACGGATTGAAATATCAATGAAGCCACTTGGTTTGTTGGATTTCTTCTTTCTCAACTGGTAGCTTCCTACTTCTTCAGAGTTGTGGACCTGCTTTGCCAAAAACTCTCTGAGAACAACTGTTGCGGAGCCATGAAGCTTCTCAGTGAGGAACAAAGGATCTCTGCTATAAACCTCCAAGTGGAGTGCCAGATCTGGGTTGGAGGTATCAACCTGGATGGCAAACTTGGTCCTCCAAAGAGGGTTGGCATTCCCAGAAGCATCAACTTTGGTACAGTACTTGCTCTTAGGATCAACCCACCCAACTGCATACCACTGACGCTTCCAAAGTGAGGGTGAACCCCTCACACCACGAGCTGATATCAAGCACACTTCAATCCAGATTTTGGCCATGGGTAAAGACAAAACGGTGGTGGTTGTTCACGCAGGAAAAGAGATTAGATGAAGGGGTTTTGGTGAACAGTGTCAAAATCTCATTGTGGGGTGTGGAAAGGCCATTTTTTTTTCTTACTGATAAGTGCATCACAGCCAGGCAGAATCTGGCAACATTTTTAAAATGCACTACAGTGTTGCATTGGGAAAAATGAAACCCTGATTGAATGCCCAGGAAAATTGGATAACTATGAATTTGTATTGTAGAAATGATTTAATTTGTTCTGGAAAAAGGTTTGACTAATATCCAAACTGATTTTAGTCACTTCGTGATGATTTCTGAATGTAGGCAATNATGACAGTGCTGCTTAGTGTAGTTAGGATGCATATCTACTTTCGTATATTTTGAAATACTCTTTGTACTTAAAGATTTAAATTTATAGCCATTTTGGATGACTGTAAGTTAAACACTTTATTTACATGTTCTTAACTGCTTTATAATATTATATCTGATGACGTCTATATTATATATACTTGCTATATAATGGGGTTGTTACGTAGACAAGTATGATTTTTAAATGTAAATTATGGGTATTAATAATATTAACTATATTAATAGTATTTTATAAGTAGTGGATTAAAACAATGTTGTAATATGAACATTTCTATTTAATTTTTTAAATAATTTAACGGTTGTAAGAAATTTTTAATGTAAAACTAGTGGAAAAAATATACTAACATCCAATCATAGATTTGTATTATGTGTGATAAATTATTAAATTTTTATATAATAATTATTTTAAAATCATCTCATTTCCATTTGTTTGATTATTGTTTCAAACATTAGCTTGTTAATATATTAGATTAGACTATATTTTCATAAACTTTACCTTAAATTCTAGTTTTTTCAAAATACGCTCTTCGACGCATATTTTGGATGAAAAAAAGAGAGAGAAACGATGACACACAAAAAATTATATAATAAATAAATTAAAATTTGGACAATTTTTTTTATATAGATTAATTTAGAAAATTGGAAAGTAATTAACTCCATTAATTAGGTGTTTTCTTTATTAAGCTTATTTAATTAATTAATTTTATTTATTCATCGAATTAAAAAATATATTTAGTAATTATTATATTTAAGATATATTGTAATAATTTTAACATATTTAAAGTATACAATACGTTTTAAAATTATAAAAGAATTATTTCATATATTTTCTATGACGTTTAAAATCAATGACCAAATATTAAGATTATAATGGCACAATCACACAGCACACTATTAAAAAAAAAAAGTCAAGACAATTTGCCTTGATTTGCCATGAACAGAGAGAGAAGCAAATTCCTCTTAACCAGAGATATATCCAAGGGTTCACACAACACAATTTCTGGAGAGAGGATGAAGAATGTTTAGCAGAAGAAGATCTAGATTCATTTGAATTATCTTTTCCCAATAAAATCATCTTAATGATAAAGAATTTAATCTGGTTTGTATGTGATTTCAAGTTTAAACTTCACTATCATTGTTGCAGACAAAAAACTTTCTCCAACTTGCCAAGAAAACCAAGATCAGTAGAAAATCACGAGCAAGCAAACTTCATGTTACATAATAGGCATAAGGCTTTCTTCAAGCAAAAACCTTTGCCACTTTGTGTGTTTTCATCCCTGTATCCTTGTTTAGTCAATTGGATCTACAATACTGCCTCTGTTCATCTAATATATAACAAGACAAGGTATTGCAGACATTTTTTACTAGAAAGAGAGCACCATGAAACTAAACAAAAAGAGTAGTCATAACACCTCTAAAAAAATTGATTTCAGATTCAGACAGAAGAAGAAAACTCTCATGGCATAATGGCCATAATGTGTGCAGCCCAATAGAATAATTACAGAAGCTGCTTAACTCTTGTTGATCAGAAAAGAGGGTCAGTGGCAATGGTAAGAGTGGGATCACCTAATTGTGACATGAAGTTATCACCAAACATTACAGCCCCAGCTGCCAATGCTCCTGCACCTGCCCCAATTGCAAATCCTGGAGGCCCTCTTGGCCTAGGACCTGCCCCAGATGATGATGATGATGGCATGTTAAAATAACTAGGTGCCATGCCACCATTACTTGGGAAAAAAGTGGGAGCATGATTGACCTTTGAGTGTGGTGGTGCAGGAGTTGTTCTGGGTGTTTGATAACTTGGTCCAGTAGCTGCAGGATAGCTTGGTCCACTCATATAAGGAGGATTAGTAGCGTAGTCTGCAGGAAATGGCACTGGATGTGTGTAGGGGACATTATTTTGGGTCTGTTTTCCTGTCCCATGGAAATGATGGATTGAAGCTTGAGGCTTTTTCTGTGGGTAGGCTTGTCCAAATCCACCCCCTGGGGTCAAGTGAGTATCATTGCCATAATCTAGCAGCACTACTCCTTCCCCATTACCTGCATAACAAACATAAAGCCTCAAATCACTCAAAGTTGCAAGCCTTTCCATCCAAACATGGAACCCTTTTTAGCATGCTGAATCAAAAGCTCACTCACCCTATAGAAAATAAATAAAAAGATAACATATATTTCAAGGTTGTGAGTCCTCGTCTTAGATCTGATTTTCCACATTTGGAATGTTACCTTAAAAACCAATCTTCCAAATGTGACTTTGTTCTCTTAATGATAAAGACTCTAATAATAAATAGCACAAAAAAATATTGCTTGGATCACTTTTCCAAAAACTCTATTAACAACACACAAGAAACTGTTCTGTGGTTTAGATCACACAAATTTATGATTTCAACCAATCTCCACTGAACATGTTGTTAAGTTTTTCAATTTAACATAGAAGAGTTAATAAAACATAANAGTAATTCGCAAGGCGAGTGTGGTGCGCTATGCGAGCCACTCTGGTTTCGCCATGCGAGCACTGTGCGCTGTGCGAGAAGTCCTGAGTTTAGTTGTTTAATTTCCTTTGGTTTTATGATTGATTAAGTGGTTTGTTACACTGTTTGTGAAGCATGCTTTAATATCTATGGCCTTATCTTATGGAGCTTAAGCATGTATGTTGATTCTAATTAAAAGTATATGAGTTGAAAAGGAAAGTGGTATGATCTCAAGGTTGCAAGTATAAGTTTCAAAGTTTAGAATCTCTTGGTGAGATTCTTAGTTGTTTAGAATGAGAGTAGGAGCTTAGTCTTGGGGGTTATACTGAAACTCCAATGGTCAATCATTATCAAGTAGAGAGGATTGAACCATGTCGTGAGGAGTAGTAGGAGGTCTTAGTCTTGGGGGCTTCCAGTATGCCTCAAGGCCCGGAACAGGCTAACCTCGTGAGTGTGGTAGGGTGAAACCCGTTGGCAACGGCTTTGCAAAGCAGTAGAGGCCGCCACGAGTGCACGACCCGCCATAGCTCGACTATCATTCTAAGTTCGGACGAGTCAAGTCTAGTATACAACATGTTAGGATGTATGATTTAGCTTGCTTTGATTGAAGTTGAATCTAGTATGTTACATACTGTTATATTGTATGCTTTTCTTAGTTTACTAGCTCACCCTTCTGCTTGCTTCTGTGCATACTTGTGTGTGATGTTTTCTTTTGCAATGATCATCCACTCAGATGTGAGTAGAGTTAGATGAGGTGCCTCTAGAGCAGGCCTTGGAGGGAGATGACAGTGCTGCTTAGTGTAGTTAGGATGCATATCTACTTTCGTATATTTTGAAATACTCTTTGTACTTAAAGATTTAAATTTATAGCCATTTTGGATGACTGTAAGTTAAACACTTTATTTACATGTTCTTAACTGCTTTATAATATTATATCTGATGACGTCTATATTATATATACTTGCTATATAATGGGGTTGTTACGTAGACAAGTATGATTTTTAAATGTAAATTATGGGTATTAATAATATTAACTATATTAATAGTATTTTATAAGTAGTGGATTAAAACAATGTTGTAATATGAACATTTCTATTTAATTTTTTAAATAATTTAACGGTTGTAAGAAATTTTTAATGTAAAACTAGTGGAAAAAATATACTAACATCCAATCATAGATTTGTATTATGTGTGATAAATTATTAAATTTTTATATAATAATTATTTTAAAATCATCTCATTTCCATTTGCTTGATTATTGTTTCAAACATTAGCTTGTTAATATATTAGATTAGACTATATTTTCATAAACTTTACCTTAAATTCTAGTTTTTTCAAAATACGCTCTTCGACGCATATTTTGGATGAAAAAAAGAGAGAGAAACGATGACACACAAAAAATTATATAATAAATAAATTAAAATTTGGACAATTTTTTTTATATAGATTAATTTAGAAAATTGGAAAGTAATTAACTCCATTAATTAGGTGTTTTCTTTATTAAGCTTATTTAATTAATTAATTTTATTTATTCATCGAATTAAAAAATATATTTAGTAATTATTATATTTAAGATATATTGTAATAATTTTAACATATTTAAAGTATACAATACGTTTTAAAATTATAAAAGAATTATTTCATATATTTTCTATGACGTTTAAAATCAATGACCAAATATTAAGATTATAATGGCACAATCACACAGCACACTATTAAAAAAAAAAAAAAAGTCAAGACAATTTGCCTTGATTTGCCATGAACAGAGAGAGAAGCAAATTCCTCTTAACCAGAGATATATCCAAGGGTTCACACAACACAATTTCTGGAGAGAGGATGAAGAATGTTTAGCAGAAGAAGATCTAGATTCATTTGAATTATCTTTTCCCAATAAAATCATCTTAATGATAAAGAATTTAATCTGGTTTGTATGTGATTTCAAGTTTAAACTTCACTATCATTGTTGCAGACAAAAAACTTTCTCCAACTTGCCAAGAAAACCAAGATCAGTAGAAAATCACGAGCAAGCAAACTTCATGTTACATAATAGGCATAAGGCTTTCTTCAAGCAAAAACCTTTGCCACTTTGTGTGTTTTCATCCCTGTATCCTTGTTTAGTCAATTGGATCTACAATACTGCCTCTGTTCATCTAATATATAACAAGACAAGGTATTGCAGACATTTTTTACTAGAAAGAGAGCACCATGAAACTAAACAAAAAGAGTAGTCATAACACCTCTAAAAAAATTGATTTCAGATTCAGACAGAAGAAGAAAACTCTCATGGCATAATGGCCATAATGTGTGCAGCCCAATAGAATAATTACAGAAGCTGCTTAACTCTTGTTGATCAGAAAAGAGGGTCAGTGGCAATGGTAAGAGTGGGATCACCTAATTGTGACATGAAGTTATCACCAAACATTACAGCCCCAGCTGCCAATGCTCCTGCACCTGCCCCAATTGCAAATCCTGGAGGCCCTCTTGGCCTAGGACCTGCCCCAGATGATGATGATGATGGCATGTTAAAATAACTAGGTGCCATGCCACCATTACTTGGGAAAAAAGTGGGAGCATGATTGACCTTTGAGTGTGGTGGTGCAGGAGTTGTTCTGGGTGTTTGATAACTTGGTCCAGTAGCTGCAGGATAGCTTGGTCCACTCATATAAGGAGGATTAGTAGCGTAGTCTGCAGGAAATGGCACTGGATGTGTGTAGGGGACATTATTTTGGGTCTGTTTTCCTGTCCCATGGAAATGATGGATTGAAGCTTGAGGCTTTTTCTGTGGGTAGGCTTGTCCAAATCCACCCCCTGGGGTCAAGTGAGTATCATTGCCATAATCTAGCAGCACTACTCCTTCCCCATTACCTGCATAACAAACATAAAGCCTCAAATCACTCAAAGTTGCAAGCCTTTCCATCCAAACATGGAACCCTTTTTAGCATGCTGAATCAAAAGCTCACTCACCCTATAGAAAATAAATAAAAAGATAACATATATTTCAAGGTTGTGAGTCCTCGTCTTAGATCTGATTTTCCACATTTGGAATGTTACCTTAAAAACCAATCTTCCAAATGTGACTTTGTTCTCTTAATGATAAAGACTCTAATAATAAATAGCACAAAAAAATATTGCTTGGATCACTTTTCCAAAAACTCTATTAACAACACACAAGAAACTGTTCTGTGGTTTAGATCACACAAATTTATGATTTCAACCAATCTCCACTGAACATGTTGTTAAGTTTTTCAATTTAACATAGAAGAGTTAATAAAACATAAAAACTAGTAGAAGATTATAGGCACATGATGACATCAAATAATTGCATAATAATAATACCTTGTGGGTGGAAAGTAGGGTCCTCCTTGTTCTCAGAAAGACGGATTGAAATATCAATGAAGCCACTTGGTTTGTTGGATTTCTTCTTTCTCAACTGGTAGCTTCCTACTTCTTCAGAGTTGTGGACCTGCTTAGCCAAAAACTCTCTGAGAACAACTGTTGCGGAGCCATGAAGCTTCTCAGTGAGGAACAAAGGATCTCTGCTATAAACCTCCAAGTGGAGTGCCAGATCTGGGTTGGAGGTATCAACCTGGATGGCAAACTTGGTCCTCCAAAGAGGGTTGGCATTCCCAGAAGCATCAACTTTGGTACAGTACTTGCTCTTAGGATCAACCCACCCAACTGCATACCACTGACGCTTCCAAAGTGAGGGTGAACCCCTCACACCACGAGCTGATATCAAGCACACTTCAATCCAGATTTTGGCCATGGGTAAAGACAAAACGGTGGTGGTTGTTCACGCAGGAAAAGAGATTAGATGAAGGGGTTTTGGTGAACAGTGTCAAAATCTCATTGTGGGGTGTGGAAAGGCCATTTTTTTTTCTTACTGATAAGTGCATCACAGCCAGGCAGAATCTGGCAACATTTTTAAAATGCACTACAGTGTTGCATTGGGAAAAATGAAACCCTGATTGAATGCCCAGGAAAATTGGATAACTATGAATTTGTATTGTAGAAATGATTTAATTTGTTCTGGAAAAAGGTTTGACTAATATCCAAACTGATTTTAGTCACTTCGTGATGATTTCTGAATGTAGGCAATGATTTTCTTTGTCTGTGTGTGTTTATGAGTGATGATGGTATCTTCACATTGAAAGAAAATTCACTTGTAGAGGGGTCCAAGGATTACATATAAAAAGAGTGCAAGTAAAGTGTTTAATAGTAATGATCTAAAAAGATGTACTATGATTACAAATAAACACATTCAAATAAGTGTGGAAGTTAAAAGAGAAGGATACTTTTTTTATTAAGCAAGCTTTAAATTAGATTCTTCTTATTTATAGGAATCTTATAAGTATACAATAAAAATAAAACAATATATATATTTATAAACTTTGTTGCTTTTTTATGAATAATTTGATAGGAAAATAAAAAGAACAAAAAAAAAAAAACAATCACATCAAATTTAACCTTTTTTTTTAATAATGGAATTGTGTTTGAGATACCATGTGCCAGCGGAAGACGGATTATGCGGTATAATTTTTAAATTTTTTGATAATAATTAAATTAGATAGTTTTTTAGTTTTTTTATAAAGTATATATTTATTTATCATTTAATGTTAATAAATAATAAAACATAAAATTAAATAAAAATATTTATTAATATATTTTTATTTTTTTAGCTATTCACTTATTTTACTCATTTCTCACTTTCATTTTTTTTTCTTTTTAAAATTAAACACAAAGTCATTATTTAGATTATATTTATCATTTATTCTATTTCCTTCTTAAAGAAAATAATAATAATTTTGAGTCTCACTTGATGGTGAAATGTTAGTTTCATATTTTTTCTTTAATCATTTGGTAGGTTTTTATTTATTGTGATTTGTCTTAAATAAGTTATTTAGTTATCTTTTGTCTCAATTGGGTTTTTAATTGTGAAAAATGATACGATTGGATCTTACTGTAAAATTGGCTGAACGTTGTTTAATTCAAATACATGGCAGACTTAAGGCATTTTACGTGGAATAGTGATGTAGATTTGATATTTTAAACATTAAAAGATTAGTAAATTTTAATTAAAATTAAATTGGGAATATTTTCATAAATTTGCATTTCACTAAATTAGGTTTCTATCATACAATTTAGGGTTCTATCTTCAAAATTAGGGATTGATTGAGTGAAATTGGACATTCATCAGGTTTTAGCTTCTTCTTGTACCAGGTTTTAGGTTGTTCCTCTACTAGGTTTTAGCTTCTTGTACCAGGTTTTAGGTTCTTCTTGTACCAAGTTTTAGCTTCTTCCTTTTCTTGTTGTACTAGGTTTTAACTTCTTCATCTTCTTCTTGTACCAGGTTTTAGGATTTTGTTGTCGTTGATGTTCGTTTTATGTTTGAGTTATTCAAGTATGCTTATGGGTCATTCATGTTTGTCTTCCACATCTGATGGGTGTCAGAAGCAAAATCATAGTCTTTGTTATCTTGGTGATGGAGGATGGAGGAGTATCAATGTATCACCAATTTGTCATTATGGAGAGAAATCATAGTTGAGAACTGTGAAAGCAACTAAGAACTAAGGGAAACAATTTTGGGGTGGCCCTAAGTACAAGGTAAAATTCATGAAACCTATGCTATTTATTTTATTGTTCTTGAAAATGGAATATTTAGTCCTTGTGGTTGATGATACTTTTAAACAAAATTGAAGTGAAGACATTGCAACTACTTCAGATGGTGCACTAATGATGGGTTTGACGAAAGTAATACCTATGTGAAGTGCGAAGGAAAGGATGACAGGTTGGTGAAGACTGAAGAAAATGAAGTTGATAAGAATATCATACTTAATTTGGAGAAAGTTATGTTGGTTCGTCAAAAGTGGATGAAAGTGTTGATAGGGGCGTTTTGTGTTCTATGTGTAGTGAACATAATTGTAGTTTCAATGTTGATGACAAGTCGATGATGTGTTGTAGTTGTTTTATTTTGTTTACTTAGCTAAGTTAATTTCTTTATTGTTAGGATATATAGTTTGGATTGTGTAGGGTGGAGAATTGAAATTATGCATTGTTAGTGTGTTGTTGAATGTAATGTTGTAAATTGAATTGAAGAGTTGCAAATGTTGATAATTGTTTGTCCATTACTCTTTAATGAATATGGTTGAATGAAAATTGTTGATAAAAAATGGTACATTGAAAATGGTTTAATGGAAATGGTGCAATGAAAATGGTATAATCAAAATGATCTAATTAGAATGGTATAATGCAAATGGTTTAATGGAGAGGGTTTAATGAAAATGGTTTAATGACCAATTATATAAGGAAAATAGTATAATGACACTAGTGCAGTGCAGAGTTACGATAACGGTTATTTTTTACATTTGACAGTAGTCTTTGAACTGAGGTATATTCTAACGAAGTAAAAAAGACAGATTTTTTGGCCTCTGTTCAAAAGAATCAAAGCAAAAGGGTCATGATTTTACCTCGGTTCAAAAGAACCGAAGCAGAAAACCCAAAAAAAAAGTTGGGTTTTGGTAAGGGGTCTCATAGGAACTGCTGTCACATACCCTTAAAATAAAAATAAATAAAAACCGTTGATTTGTCGATTTGATCATAACATTTGATCTCGTTGGCCGACATATTATATATCGATTTAGGATAGAAAAAAATGTTCAACGTCATAGCAGCCCGCGTGTTCCTTCTAGATTTAAAAAAAAAGTCATTTTCTATTTTTCGTCAATTTATTTTGTTTTTTTAAACTTCGCAAAAATATTTCCCATGCTTAAACTTTTGAATTTTGATCCAAATTTTTTGTGGGAGCTTTTTATGGTATTTGAAAAAATTTCCAAGTCATTTGGATATATTTTCAGTTTTACCCTATGGTGTATGAACAAACCGAAAACGAAATTTCATCAAAACTCAAAACGAAACTATCCATAAAGATGGGGTCAGTGCCGAAATAAATCTTTGCACTGGTGAGGGACAAAAGATTATGAATGAAAATGAAAGAGTACCTATACATGAAACTAATCGGTCAAAACAAAAGAAAATCAACCCTAAAACAGTTAATCAACAAGAATTTGTGTAAAATGAAAAAATAAATTACCTGTTGTCAACACCTAATTTCGTCTAGGTAAGTTAATAAAAATAAAAAATTAAAAGTAAAGGTAAAAAACAAGAATAAAAGGATAATAATTAATGGTGGGTAAAAAGGATAAAACAATGCATATGATTTTCAAACTTTAATGCAGGACACATCACTAGAAAATATTTTGGAAATATTAGTTTAAAATGGTAATAATTTGAATCAATATTATGCCAATAATTATAAGCAATAATTAAAATAGTATATTAATATAATTTGTTGCGTCAGTTGTTTTTAAAGAGGAAAAAATGATTTTAAAAATGGACAAATTTTTTGAAAATAATTATAATCAATGTCTTGAATTTTATTTGATTTATTTTTCTTGGAACCAAGACATTTTCTTTCCCTATTTTTTTCATTGTCAATTAATTTACAATTAAGGCAAGATTATCATAATATTACAATGTGTGTATATAAATAAGTATTCTGTCATAGAAAAAACGCGAACGAAAAGAAATAGGGAGATACACTATGAAATAATAGAGATAGAAAGAGTGAGACAATATAGAGGAAAGTAAGTTCTCATGCTAGAGGAACTCTGCCAAAAGAAACTACCAAGAGAACTAGAGGAATACTTAAAGCCAAAAAGGTATGTTATCTCTACATCATTCTCCTTCTCTTTTTATTGTACTTTGAAGGTTTTTGTTAAAATATTTTATTTTTTTATTATGCACCGATAATGTTTTTTTTTTCATAAAAAAAGACTATCTTAAAAAATAAATAATAAATAAACAATTAAAAAAATATTTTTTATCACGTATTTTCCTATAAAAAAAATTTTAAATCATAAAGTAAAGGGTATGGGTACGCGTCGGCTTATGGTTGGTCTCTTTCCTTTTCTTTTTCATCCCACCTTTTTTTCAAATAGAAGAATACAAAAATCTTTTAAAAAAAAGCAATGTCAATCCTTATCGAGTTCACTTTTCAAAATTCCAAAATAATGCATAATAATTTTCAAACAAACTCACAAACCTTTTTTTAGATAAAGAACTACGTGATCCCTCATTGTCCATCATAAATAGATATACAGAGGAGGAAGGTCAATCCTTGTCGGGCTCATAAAACAAAAAATATTTTTTGTTTCTTAATAGTTTCTTTATATTATTATTTTGTTTAGGGAAAATTAAATATTTTAAAAAACCACGTCAACTTTATACATTTAATTAAAGGTACTGCCTTTGGGCAGGCGCAGTAGGGTGCTAACACCTTCCTTATGCATAACCGATTCCTGAACCTAAAATCTAGTTTTCGTAGACCATGTCTTATTTTATGGTTTTCCATAGTTTTTCTATGATAAATTATGGTGGCGACTCCCAAAATCTTTTCTCAAATCCGTTTGTTTTTCGGCTCGCCGTCCCGTCGTGATCCCGGTTGCGACACCTGTGACGGTCGCTTAAAGCTTCATTGTAGTAGAGAAGAAGAAGAAGAAGCAAAGAGAAAATGAAGAAAAAATGTAAGAGGAGACTTTGTTATCTCATGAAATATAACCCTAGGACACCTCTATGACATCAGTACTACTAAGAACCGTTACCTAAGGCCTTTCAAAAAGAATAAAAAATAATATTTTCAGGTGAAAATTTTGATTTTTTTTTCAAACTTTATGTCTCAATTCATGGTATAATTGAAGCATAAAGTCCTCTATGGCACCAGTTTTCAAAATAACCTAGGCCATAGGGCTGGAAATTGAAAAGTCAACCTACAATGTTTGTACCCTATGACAGCGGTTTTGCAAAGAACCATGGCTAAAAGTCCTGTACAGAAAGCTTGTCAGTTTTGCAGGACCCTATGGAAGTGGTTCTACAAAGAACCGAAGCCAAAAGTTTTGTCCAGGGTAGGGCCCTGTGACAACAATTCTGCAAAAAATCGAGGCCAAAAGTCCTGTCAAATGAAAAGTCTTAAATTTTT